GAAGTAAAATACTAAGGTGCGGAGGTGCATGCGGAGCGGGCTGGCGGCTGAGGGCGCGGTTGTCGTTTTCAATCGGGAGGGAGTCTCAGGCTCTGAGCTCCAGTTCCGGGCCAGTCTCTAGGGACCCAGACTCATATGGGAGAAGCGGGACTGTCTGGCATCGGTCGGAACTCGAGGGCAGCTTTCTCTCTGAGGGGCTTGCAGAGATTACCGGGACACTGAGAAGCAGAACCTCTGAGGGTAGGACTGAGAGCAGCCATAACTGCCATCCCCACCCTGTTGATCCCGTGGGACCCGCCCTGCCCAAGCCCTGCAGGGAGGCTTTTGCTGGATAGCCTCAGGCAAAGGCTAGATTAGCACCTCCCTAGAGATCCAGGAGCCAGGAAGCCCAGAGGTCCGAGTGGGACCATCCAGTTTGCAGCTCCCTGGAAACATAAAGGACACACTCAGGGGGCAGACTCAGTGAGCACCAAAGCCCCATTGAAGCAAGTCTTGCCCCAGAGGGGTGTCTCCAGCACAGAAGTTCTCCCACTGCAGACACAGCTGATTCTCACAGCCAATTGGTCTGGAGGTCATTCCCTCCCAGTGTTAACTACAACAATCAAGGCTTAACTACAACAAGACAGTGCACAAAGTCCACAAGGGGGTGCACCAAGAGTGTCCATCTCAGGTAATTGGGGAAGCTGAACCACTGGGCCCTAGAGGACACTTAGCACAGAAAGCCACTCTATCGACACAGCGAAGCATAAAAAATGCACGAATTTCATGCATCGGGCCTTATTTAGTATTTAAATAAGATTCTAAAACAAGCAAAACAAATCCCTGGTATTACAAGCCAGAGCAGTATAATGAGGGAGGTAACAGCTGACAGGGGACAGGCCGGGCTTCTGGAGTGTCCCTTGACTGGTTGGTTCCACAAGCATGTTCACTTTGTGCAAATACATTAACTGGATAATAATGTCTGTCTTTTTCAGTTTGTTAAACTCCCAAAACAATTTTTAGAAAGAACAAAAAAAGGGGGGAAGGAAAGAAGGTAGGGGGAAACATAAGTGAGCTCAGGTTCAATGGTCTAATGCTGATACATCTGGAAATCACAGCAGAAGCCTTAATTATTTATAAGAACTAAAACAAATATTGTCATTACACGTTACATTCATGGTCTGTCCACACGTATGACTTCTGATAGCCCTGAGCATAGCAAGGGTTCACACTCCGACTTCTATGTAGTTTGAGTGATCAGAGCTGCACACTCAATACACATCTGTTTCCTTTAAAATGTGCTTGTCCTGGACCAGTGCCACATAAATCTGATGTTTTCTTCTGGACTACTAAAAGATTAAAGTCTGCCATGACGCAGCATTCAAACACATGAGCTGTTGTATATATTAAAAACAGAGCTCCGTTTAGGATTCCCCCTCGCTTATCACATGTACTGGGTATTAAAATTAAAAGCAGCACTTCAAGGAGAGAAGGAACTAGAAAGATAAATGTAACTAATAATAATAATAATAATAATAAACAATTCTGTAACTGCTAGAATGTTACTATAAAGGGCAGTCACGGTCCTCTTTAATTAGCAACAATAGGAAGCAAAATATCTTTTTAATCTTGCCACTGACACCAGAAATTATACTGGATGTAATGTCAACTACTAGAAATTTCTGAAAAAAATCAGGTCTCCACAAAAATCTTACAATTGAAATTTAAAATGTCTCCATCCCCTATAATTTTTCACTAATCTGATATATAGGTTCCTTTGTAGGAAGGCCCAGTTTTAATAGTCTATAGAATTCAACACTCCCTAATTGATGAATTCAAAGGGACCCTAATCAAAATGCCAACAATAATTTTCCTCGAAAATAATAAAGGACTTCAGAGCACAAGTAAAAATGTAATCAGTTGTGAATAGAATAGCTATGAAAAATCCTAAAAATGAAACGTGATGACAAAGAATCCGCCTGAATATTAGGATCTATAAAAATACAACAAAATAGGATGGCACCGGTGCCAGACGAAACAATCAATGGGAACAATAGTATAATAGACTCCAGAATGTGATGGGATTTAGACATAGCACTTAAATCAGTGGACAGAAGATAGATGATTTAATAAATTATGTTAAAACAACCGGTTAGACTTCTGCTTTTACAAAAAAAAAAGCCTCCTTAACATCCCCTGGACTTTTTCATTTTCTTATTAATATGGAAATTTACAACACATACTTTACACTAAAATTTATTACGAATAGATCAAAACACTATAAAGTCAAAGGCAATGTAAGAGGACTAAGCAGCTAACTAAATGTGTGAAACCAACTGTGTGGGAATTACAGGGAACTAGAAAACATCTGTGCTTTCCCAACTTTTTTTTTTTTTTTTAAATACCAAATCTCGCTGGGGCAAGCCAACACAGCAGATGTCTGCAGGAGGAAATCAGGTGGGAGTTCTGGTTGACCTGCAGGCTGAGAGGAGTCACATCTTAGCACACCTGGGAAGTATTGATGACATACCACATGGGAAGTACTGAATTAGCACGCTCAGGCCCTGTTTACAAGAGCAGTGGCTCTTCAAGTCTGTTTCTTTATGGCAATGCATGACAATGTTGTTAAACCTGACGTTTTTCAAGAGAAGATAAAAGTCTAGATTGTTATGTAAAAAACATGGGCAGCTACACGTTTTTAGAAAACTGTGAGGGGCTGCACAAAGCCCATCTGTTGGCCAGATCTAGCTCATAGGCCACCAGCTTACAAATTCTGATTTAAGTGCAAAAAATGAAACCATTCAAGCGCTGCAGAGAACACACGACATTATTTTCATAGTTTTGGAGTAAGAAAGACCTAAGCGCAATCAAAACCAGAGTGCATAAAGAACAAGGCATTAACTACATAAAAATGTAAAACTTATGTGTAACCGAACGTTAGGAACAAGCCTAATAAAGACAGAGGACAGCAGTCTCCCCCCAGGCTCTCTGCAGCATGGAGTGCTGCAGCCTGGTCTCCAGCCTTCTCTGTGGGGGAGGAGAGGGTGCCTGGCTTAACAACAGTGCCAGAACCACCTGGACAGAGAGTTGTTTAAATGAACAGAAAGGGGGAGGAAGCAGGAAAGGATCCAGGATGGACAGGCACCATCATCTATTACTCAATAAATATGAATTAAATTTGAGTTTACATGTCTCATACTTTAACATCTTTTTGAATATTTACTAGAATTTAAAAAACACACTGATCAATGATATTAAGAATTTTTCCTGGCTATCAAATGAGTTATTCTTTTTTTTAAATATATATTTATTGATTTCAGAAAGGAAGGGAGAGAGAGAGAGAGATAGAAACATCAACGGTGAGAGAGAATCATTGATCGGCTGCCTCCTGCACGCCCCCTACTAGGGATTGAGCCCACAACCCAGACATGGGAATCGAACCTGACCTTCTGGTTCATAGGTCGAAGCTCAACCAACCACTGAGCCACGCTGGCAGGGCAGAGTTGTTCTTTTTTGTTAATACTTACCTGGGGATATCCAGTTGATTTCAGAGAGAGTAGAGGAGAGAGAAAGAGGGAATGGGGGCATGGGGAAGAAAGGGAAAGAGGGAGGGGAGGAGGAAGAGAAGCAGAGGGAGAATGTGAGAGACATGGATATGAGAAGACAGATGGATTGGTTGACCAGTCTGGGATCAATCCTGAAACCCAGGTACATGCCCTTAATGGGGAATTGAACCTGAGACGCTTCACTGCACTGGCCTATGCTCTAACCACTCAACACAGGCCAGGACTCGAATGAGTTATTCTTAGTAACTCCTTCAGAAAGTGAACATGCAACCCTCAACCAACACTGGCCATGTAGCATATGCAAGAAGGCAGTTAACTGTATGTGCAGAGTTGGAGGAAGAAATGTAAAAGTCAGAAAATGTAACAATGATAGAATGTCCTCCTTCAAGGCTCTCGTGATAAGGTGAATTTCATCATGATGTCTGTTCCAGCACATGCCGAGTATGTGCACATTTTACCAAATCAGTGCAATATGGACCAGTGTCTTGAACACTGAATTAGGATGCTGATCTAATGTAACATCCACATGTTAAAGAAATGAGTTGAGACTCAGAAAGTACTAGATTTAAAGAAAGTATAGCAAGTTTGACTTTGTGTAGAGAAAACTAAATTTGTCACCCATTTTCATGCACCAGAGAGTTCATAAATTTCAAAAAGTGAAAAAGAGCCAATTTATTCTTTCAAAAATAGATTATAAAATTAAATATCATCTTATCTTTGAATCACAGATTTCACGGTTACCTGTTGCTGCTGCTGTGGACTCTTTCAGTGAATGCCATTGCTGCCAGTCAGTGGGAAGTGACAAGTCTATTCATCTGAAAGAGAAAGAGCTTGTGAATATCAGTCCATAAGAAAACTCATAGGCACATGTGACCTGTAAGAAATCTTCCTGGAGACAGAATTCAAAGTTCTCATTTGGATTAGAGAATGGTTCTTTACCAGCTCCCAAGTTGCATGAATAAATCGGCTAGCATATGTCAAAGGAAAAATGCACTTTTAGTTTTGAGGCTGCTACTCAAAGCCATTTCAACAAGAAAAAAAATGTGCACAAGTTTATCATGAGAAGGAAGAAAGGAAATATCATTTCCCCAGTGTCTACTATGTGCTAAGCATCGTGTTAAATGCTTTTTAAAAATGACATTTCTTTTTTTTTTTTTAATTAAATCTTTATTGTTCAGGTTACATTCGAAAACGACAACCGCGCTCTCAGCCACCAGCCCGCTTTGCGCGCGCACCTCCGCACCTGAGTATTTTCCACACTGCGCCTCCTCTGAGCCTCGGTGTGCTGTTATTTTTCCTTCTAGTTGAAGAGTCTCTCCTCAGCCAGCCTTCCTGCGGTTCTGGGTGATGTCCGTTCCGTCTTTTAGTTGTATTTTTGAAGTGGTTGTTTGCGGCAGCAGTCTGCGGTGTTTACCTATGCCGCCATCTTGGTCTCCCTCTCTAAAAATGACATTTCATGTAAACATTACAATAAACTTGCAAGGTACATACTAATGCCCCATTTTACAGATAAGAAAACTATAACTCAGTTTTAAGTTAAGTTTCCTGAGGTAACAGGTTGTGTCATCATCTTCACTAGAATCAGGAGTAGGAAAGGCCAAGGAGTAGGCAAGAGAAAGGCAGTCAACATTGATCTTTATGTAAGAATTCAACACTTAATAAAATAAGAAAGTGGGCCCCCCAGTAAAACCCAATCTTAAGATTTTACTTCCACTCAGAAAAGGTACTTAATTAATCCCCAAGGCAATTCTTGAGCATTCTCCCATAAAGTAATGGATATTGTGTGTGGGTGGGGAGGTGAGAGGGGTGTGAGTGAAAGAGAGAGAGAGACAGAGAGAGAGAGAGAGAGAATATATAAGTGTGTGTGATCCCAAATGGCCTTCCTACTATCTTGTGGATCTCTAGAAACAACCTCTCTCTCTATGGTTAACACTATCTACAGCTGTTTCCTTTTCCCTTTCTTGTGTTTGTAAATGTGCTGCACTTCTCCTAACTCGCTTTAAATAGTTTTTATTTTTTCAAACATCCTTAAGGCAAAGGGTATGTTACTACATTATCTAGTACAGATTTAACAAACTTTTTGATACGAATGGAAACTCTGCATGAAACTTGTAACCATTTTAGCTGTTTAACAGCCTAGCTGCTACACTGTGGGCTGAAGTTGAAACACTGTCTATAGCACTTCAGCTCCACTCTGACTCCGATAAGGCCTTTCATCTCGCTCTCCAGGACATGAAAATTGCTGTCTTGAAGACCACAATGTTTCCATATGAGTAGATATCATGTGTCATTCCTCTCTCCTCCCGAAAAACAATGAAACAGATGCTGCAAATATTCTAATTAAACGCACTCTGGTAGCGATCTAAGTTTTTCAGGGTCAAACGTGTTTTGGAGTCGGTCTCTCCTCCAACCAGCTAGAGTGGCCCTAGGCAAGTTTCCCAAATTCTCCAACCCAAATCTTGACACCACCACTCCATCTCGCCTTAGTCTCTCTCACTTTCCTTCTCTCAACACACTTTAATTTCTCTTTCTCCCCATCTCTCTATTTCTATCCTGCCTTTCCTCCTCCCTCCCCTTGCCCCCATCATTTTCTCTCTTTCCCCTCTAACCCTCTCTCCCCTCCCCACCCCTTGCTGCTCTCTCACTTTCTCTTGGCATGCAGGGCTGGCACACAGTAAGTCAGCGGTTCTCAACCTGTGGGTCACGACCCCTTTGGCGATCGAACGACCCTTTCACAGGGGTCGCCTAAGACCATCCTGCATATCAGATATTTACATTACGATTCATAACAGTAGCAACATTACAGTTATGAAGTAGCAACGAAAATAAATTTTTTAAATATATTTTATTGATTTTTTACAGAGAGGAAGGGAGACGGGTAGAGAGTTAGAAATATCGATGAGAGAGAAACATCGATCAGCTGCCTCCTGCACACTCCCCACTGGGGATGTGCCCGCAACCCAGGTACATGCCCTTGACCGGAATCGAACCCGGGACCTTTCAGTCCGCAGGCTGATGCTCTATCCACCGAGCCAAACCAGTCAGGGGCTACAACGAAAATAATTTTATGGTTGGGTCACAACATGAGGAACTGTATTTAAAGGGCCAGAAGGTTGAGAACCACTACAGTAAGTGATCAATAAAACAGGCATCAGTTTTGGCATTAACCTTGCTAACAGCGTGAATACTTTTGAAGAGTCTGTGATGGTAGTTCCCCACATGACCCACCCCTTGAAGATGCCCCACCTGCTTGCAGCCCAACAGCATTCACCCCTAAGCCCGCTGGCAGAGACTGAAAGGGCAGTTTGGGATGTGGATGGCTGCCAAACTGAAGGAGTGGCCCTGGGTCCTCTGTCTGATCATTTACTCACTGAGCCAACAAGTATTCCTGCACATCTACTCAAAGCCAGGAACTGAGAATGAGAGGGAAGGGAACAGACTCTTGCCATCATCTGAGTTTACAAGCTATAGGAGGTCAAAAACAAACAAACAAACATAGTATATAGATGTTAAATATTAAAAGGTGCTCTAGAGGGAAATGAAGAGAAAGTATAGAGTGCCAGAGGAGAAATGAGGTAAGGTGTTGCAATTTTACATAGCGTGGTCAGAGAATGTAACATTTGAGCAAAGTGAAGAGCAAACTGTGATCTATAGTGAAATATGGTCCTAGAACTGGTGATAATGATGTGTCCATGTAGGCTCATCAATTAGAATCACCTGGGGCCCTAACTGGTTTGGCTCAGTGGATAGAGTGTTGGCCTGCGGACTAAAGGTCCCAGGTTCGATTCCGGTCAAGGGCATGTACCTTGGTTGCAGGCACATCCCCAGTGGGAGGTGTGCAGGAGGCAGCTGATCGGTGTTTCTCTATCATTGATGTTTCTAACTTTCTATCCCTCTCCCTTCCTCTCTGTAAAAAATCAATAAAATATACTCAACCTTGGCTGCACATTAGAATCACCTGGAAATCTTTTTAAAATCCTGATTTCTGGGCCTCATCCTCCGGAAAGTCTGTTTCTTTGTTATGGGGTGGGGGCACAACATTAGTAACAAAGAAACAGAATTTCCGGAGGATGAGGCCCAGAAATCAGGATTTTAAAAAGATTTCCAGGTGATTCTAATGTGCAGCCAAGGTTGAGAACCACTGCTCTAGTGGAAAATGCTGATTATGGGGAAGCTGTGCATGTGTGGGGCAGGGAGAGCTATGGGAAATCTCTGTGCCTTTGGTTCAAATTTGCTGTGAACCTGAAAGTTCTCCAAAACAGTGTATTTTTTAAAAATGGTTCTAGACTGACTAACCTAAGACTGACTGAAGAATTCAGCCCAACCCGTGGGTGCCATTACTGACTTGTTGGGAGGTGGGTGGAGATGTATTTTCTGACAGATTTGGCTCCTGGGCACAGCTTTGCTGGAAGGCACAGTCCTTTCCACAGAGGCAGAGGCGAGGAGGCAGAATCACCAGATTATCCACTATCTCGTTTATGGCTCACAGTCAGACCCAAGTCAGCTGAAAGCCTGTTCAGGTGCTGATGCCTGACTGCACAGTTGCATGGAGTAGCCATGCAAGCCAGCCATCAGGTCGGGTTAGCATCGAGGCCTGCTGTGGTCAGGAAAGTATTATCCTAAACCACGGCTAAGAAAGGAAATTAGTATATGCTTCCCTTTAGCAATTCTTCAAAAAAAACTTTCTTAAAAATATAGTCACATCCTGGCTGGGTGGCTCAGTTAGTTGGAGTGTCATCTCGTGAACCGAAAGGCTGTGAGTTCAATTCCCAGTCAGGGCACATACCTAGGATGCCGGTTCCACTCCCGGTTGGGGCGCATGCAGGAGGTAGCCAATCAATGTTTCTTTCTCATTAATGCTTTCTCCCTCCCTTCCCCCCGCCCCTCCCCCTCCTTCTCTCTTACTCTCACCAATGAACATATATCCTTTGGTGAGGATTATATATATACTAGAGGCCTGGTGCACGAAATTCGGGCATGGGGGGTGAGGGGTCCCCTCAGCCCAGCCTGCACCCTCTCCAATCCAGGATTCCTCTCACAATCCTGGACCGCTCCTAATTGCTCGCTCACCTGCCTGCGGGCCTGATCGCCCCTCACTGTCTCTGCATGCTGGCCTGATTGCCCCTAACTGCCCCCTACTGCTGGCCAGGTCACGCCCAACTGCCCCCTCCCTGCTGGCCTGGTTGCTCCTAACTGCCTCCCTCTGGCCTGATCACCCCTTACTGCCCCCCCCTGCTGGCCTGGTCGCCCCACATAGCCTGCTGTTTGGTCATTACTGTTACTGTGACAGTGTCCCAGACAAATTTGCATATTCCTCAATTATTAGTATAGATTACCACTTCATATTATAGAAAATTCAGAAAATAACTAAAAGAATGAATGGGAAGATAAAAATTTCTCAGAATTCCACAACTGCAGATAACAACTCGGTCGCCCCACGCAGCCTGCTGTTCAGTCGTTTGGTCGTCCCTCACTAACCACCCTGCGGCCTGGTCGTAGGCAGCCATCTTGTGAGGGTGTGAGGGTTAATTCGCATATTACCTCTTTATTATATAGGATTCAGATATCTACAAGGTATGTGCCAATAAAATATTGTTTAAATAAGAAGAAAACTGGTAACCTAATACACACCAACACAGAAATGGCTAAATCCATTAGATCACAGCACAACATGCAATGTAACATCAAAAGAATAAGTTTATCCAAATAAGATGCTGAACAAAATGCATAATGTGAAAACAAAAACACGATGTGAGCTTAAAAAGAAAATGCTTCCTGTTTATGTTTATGGTAACACACACTCCCACACAAGTGT